TTTTAGCGTCAAATACCAAGATAGACAACGAATGTTATCGATATATTTTTTGTATTAAATAAATAAATTGTATTATAATATTTATATCAATAAATTGAAATACACATATACATATACATAAATATATATATATATATATATATATATATATATATACTTAAATTGAAATTTATATATACATAAGTATATACATATGTACATACATACACAAATATATATATATATATATATACATATATACACATATATGTATGTATATATTTATTCACAACCATATAAACATATATACAAAAACATTCATATATATATATATACACAACATTCATATATATACACATAGATATACATATATACACAAATACATATACACACAAATACAACTATATATATAATATATGCATATATATACATATACATATATATAATATCACATATACATATACCCAAATATACATACATATATATACATAAATTAAAAATCAAATACAAATATAAAAAATACATACATATATACATATATATACACATAAATATAAACACATATATTATATATATATAAGTTTCCATGTTGTTTATTAAACGTGTCATCTGTTTTTTTAAACCTCTTTTTCATAAATAAAAATTAGTGATAGTTTTATAATACATATATACATACACACATACACACATATATATACATACATACATACATACCTACATACATACATATATATATACATATATACATACATACATTCATTCATACATATATGCATACATATATTTACATATTTTTTATTAAACATGCCACATTTTTTTAAATCTATTTTTCATGAACAAAAATTAGTGATAGTTTAATAATATATATATATATATATATATACACACACATATATCTATACATACACACAAATTCAAAATCAAATATAAAATATGAATGATAAAAAATACATACATACAACCATACACACGTACACATATTATTACATACATATATACTTATGTAAATACATACATACATATATATACTTGTATATCTATACATATACACTTTCATATATACATATATATACATATACAATAACACAAACACAATTAAAATTACTTTACCGAAAACACAAACACAATTAAAATTAATTCCTATCCATTGCTCGATCATGTTGCTCGCCTTGGACACTGCAGATATTTCTTAGTCATTCCTGTTGACAATAATAGAAAAATAATGAGATATACATATACAAATATATATATATATATATATATATTCATATATATACACATATATAATTACGTAAATACATACAGTTACATATACAGTCATATATATATACACAAACACAATTAAAACTTCACCGAAAATACAGGCACAACTAAAATTAATTCTTGTCCATTGCTCGACCATGTTGTTCGTCATGGACATTGCAGATGCTCCTTCCTGTTAATTACATCTATAACCATCTTATCTATATCACAAATGTCAAACGTTCTTTTATACTTGCAATGGAAACTCCAGATTAATATGTTTCTTTTTTTAATAAACTTTTTTTTTTCCGTTTTTCATTCTCATTTACTCAAAACATAATTATTATATGTTTACTCAAAAGTTTATTTTATAGCATCCAATGCAAAGCCACATAAATTTCTTTGCTTTATTTATTATATGACTTTAATAAAATGTTTATTATATCACTTTTCACTAAACGTTTCTTCGATCTCTCCCTCCTTCCCATTTTATTACTCCACTAACTATACCAAAATTAAATGAATGTCATCTACTCAAAATAATTGTATTCGATACTACTAAACGCATTACATAGGGCAATCACAACGAATGTATAGTTTCATGGAATCCATATAAGCTCGTTTAAGAACCAATAACGCATGATAAATAATAATACTAATTACGGAATGAATAAATGTGATTATTAGTGTGAGATAGTAAATATCACGTTGTAGAGTCATATATTCAATATATGAAGTTCTAGAGTCTTATCAATTTTTGTTCTACTATTTTTTTTTAATTTAGTTAACACCAATAAATGCATGATATGACAATAGTAAGAATTACAAAAAGAATAAATATGATTATTAGTGGTTAATAGATACCTTAAACATGTCTTTATATTATAATAAATACAAAAAACGCAAAAGCATATATAGACATATACACATATATACAGAAATACATATATATATGTTTACTTATATTTTTTATTTATATTTTATTTTATAACAGGGTTATATATATAATAGAATCGCCGATAAATGGATGGCCACCATGCACTCTCCATCGCCGTTGTCTGACCGCTTCGACAACTTTTCTACCATTGGGCATCTTACGTAGCATAATATAATAATATATAATAGAAAAGATAACTAAAAGGGAATATAATAAGACAATAACACAATAATTATAAAAAAATCAAATAATAAATATGGTATTAATGGACCAAGTCATAATAAATGTCCGTTAACATTTCATAATGTTTTGTAGACTTATGCGTAATAAATGTATAGTATTTATATCATCAGTTTTTCAATGGACAATTAACTTGGTAGTTATTTACATTGTTAATTGTTTGTGCATGACTTTTATTCCATTAGCATTAAACCAGTTCACCAACGTATTACCGATCTGAAATGAAAAGGATTAATATCATCCTTAACTATTTGTTTTTTAATACATCAATATTTATCATTTAATTATAGATTTTATTTTTTAAATACCTTTTATTAGTTTCTAAATGTACAATTTAAAATAATAAAAGTATTGCAAAATATTAGAATTTGATTAAACTTATATAGCAATAAGATTTTATAAACTTTTTACTATAAAACCTTATTACTATAATGTATAAATTACAGAGTATTAAAGTAATTATCTTATTATTGATATTGTCGATATGAACTTAATAAAAAAATATTATAGAGTATTTAGAAATTTGTAAATCTAACATAAAATTATTTTAATACAAATAATTATTATTTAGAAACGTGTAAATAATATATGTAGACATCAATAAAGCAATGAAAATATAGTAAACTAAATCACTAAGAATCGGGAGATAATTGAGAGAATAATATCAAAGATAATAACATAAATAACAATAGGATCTCCTTCCATTAGAAATAAATGCATAGCCTTGGTCTTCTTATTATGCACGTCATTCATATATCAACTTGAAAAAGTTAACATTTTAACGCCCTATATTTATGTATATACACGTCCACTTCTTCATCTTCATCTGCGTAGTGATAGGTTTTTCTCCAACCGTCAAGCGACCATAGCTATTAGACCTGACAAACTTATACGAAATGGTATCGTATCACTTGATGGGTCTCCGGTAGCACGACAATCCAGGGTGCTTGAAGGCTGTTACTTTCTCATGTTATCTCCTGTACATTACTCTGTTTTAGCCGTTGATGTCTCACCTCAGTGCTTTTTTCTCCTACATAGTTGGCGTTCTTCTTTTTTGGAACTCTCTTCAGTACCTGACCGAACTTTTGTATATATATTGAACCCTGATATATTTATTTATAAAGATTAATCATTTATAAATAAAAAATCAAACAAAAGGAAAAAGAGACATGGACAAAAAGACATGTTTAGTTGGTTCATTTTCCATGTTCTCATCATAGCCCACATCAAAACACCAAACCCTAATTTCTCTAATTACCAAGAACAACATCTTACCCATTTTCATCCACCTCGTGGCTGCTTCATCATCCGAATCTGCAACAATAGCCTCCACCACCCCATTGTCCACTGTTTCAATATGTTTAGTACCCAAAGTTTCAGCTCTCTGGCGACTTTTCATAGTGAAAAGAATTTACTATCCTGGTTATATTTGAAGAGCAAATATAATAAGTGCTAATTAAATGGCACCCTATAAAATTCTGGCAGTTTCGAACTTGTAGCATTATTATATTAAATTTGGTTATTAGTGGACAATAAATATGACGTTTTATAGTTGTTGGAGTGGTTTTCAATTTTTTACGATAATGGTTTTGAATTTATATTGTATTATCTATTTACTCTAAGAGAAGTATGTCTTTTTCATGTAAGATATATTTTTTATTTTTTTTATTATAATAATCTATTAATAATTTTTTTAGATCAAAATAACAAATATAAGTGTAATAAAATTAAAAAATCTCAAATAATATATAAAACTAATATCAAAATGAGTTTTTTATATAATAAAGATAAAAGTTATTTTAATTATAATAAGCTCACATTTGTTTAATAAAAATACAAAAAGATAAATTAAATGCTCTAATTATATATAGTTAATGAGTATTTTTTATTAACCAATAAAAATTAAGAAAATTGATGATGTGGAGGATGAGGTGGCTTCACCACAATCCTTTAAACATCTTTATTAATATATATAGATAGATTTTAGAAATAATATTTTCCAATAGCTTAAAACTTTGGAAACTTTCACTGAAACCTCATATATATATATATATATATATATATATATATATATACCCGTTGAATAGATATGTATTCCTTCATTTAGCATCATCACGATGATCATCTCTTAATCACAATTTGATCAAATCGAAACTATCCTCGTCCAAATTAACTTTATCACATCTTTAGTTTCTTTAATTTTTCAAAATCTTCTAAATTTTATCGACAAATCATTTTAGAGCATGTCACAAGTGTACTCTCAATACCATAGAAGTACACTAATCTCAACATATTCTATCAATTTAAATTGTAAAACCCTATATATTTAAACTTTTTAGCAACAATTTCAACGCAAGTTACCAAAAATCATCTTGCAATTTACAAATAATACTTTGGCAGCTAAAAATAACAAAGGAGCCAAGATAAATGGATGGGCCAAGAGCCCAATGTCCATTTGAGTATTACAAAACAGTTTGCATAGATAATCTATATCTATGAAATTGGCATTGCTTCTTTGTTTTGCATCTTCAAAATGAATCTCCTTCGAGCCTTTGAGATTTGGAATCAGCCTCCGACACTTTGGCTTCATGGGTTGTCTAAGTGAACACAGAAAGAAAACCTCTCCTCCAGAAGGAAGTGTACAACAAAAACAGACCTCACTTTGTACCACACGAAATCACAAGTGTTTTACAATCTTTCCTTCACTTCTTTCATGAACCTGCGTCCTAACAAACATCGATTCTTCAGACACATACGTGTAAATCCGATCATTTTCATGTTTCAGTGTCCCCGGATTTCGGATGAAAGAATACATTCTCTCCTATGGTTCCTCTATGACTTCCTCCTCGGGCAATATAGCAGTCAACAATGAATACTTTACCTTCAAAGAGATCCTTCCTTTCTCCACGAGTAATCTCGCTCCAGACACAACCCAATACCCGGGTGATTCTTGTGGTCCCCTCATCATCTCCGTCGTGTCGACGAATTTGAGCATCTTCGGGGCTTGCACGGGTACCGGTGGACCGCCCGGGTAGACTGCAGAGTTGATATTCACGTCTGCTGGCCGAGGGGGCGGCTTCTGAGCTGCGGTGAAATGGTGGCTTATAAGGGTTGAGATCAGTCCTGATTTCGGGGTAAACCCAACGGCTTCATCCCATTCGGGATTCTTAACGCGTGTAGCCCCAACAACTGTTGAGAAACTGAGGCGCAAAAACAAGACGTTCTTGAAACCGTGGCTCTCTACCTGAAGTTGAGCACCCGTCACAATAGAAAGATCATCCTCTGATTCGATGGGTGCAGTGCAGACGTGAGAGTAGTTCTTCCAATATACTTTCTCGTAGTATCTTCGATCGTGAGATTCCTGTCGGAAATTTCTATTCGGATCATCTTCAAGTTGGAATATCTTGGGAAGAGAAGACAGGTGTTGCAAATGAATCGCCAATCGGTTACATCTTCTACCCTCTAGGTAAAGCCGCATACCCGTGACTGGCCTCTTACCAACGTCAACCTGTTTCAGAAAAAGGTACTAAGAATTTGAGAAGAAAATAAAAACTACTTGCACAACCGCAATGCATGTATTTATAAGCTTATGCTGTACACTCGGAGTTAAAAAGAGATCAGGTAACATTGAGTAGGATTCCGGATATTTAAGAAGAAGCGAAATCATACAGGAGTGGTGTTCACATATAGCTTAGGTCCCATGAAACTGAACTGCAACGATGAAGAATTTTGCTGTTTCCTTTGCGGTCCAAGAGGAAGTTCACTAAATACTGGCGCCCACTGCCTCGGAAGCTGAAACTCTAAAAACTGTTGCAGCTCTTCAATTGGTGGCTTATCTACAATAAAAACAATCAAAAGATGAGCAATTAAAAGGCTATCCACATTGTAAAGGAAGCAAGCAATATCAAAACATTGAATCTGAGTCAACATAACTCCATGAGAGAAGGCAAAATTAGTATAAGAAGCCAAGAGAACACAAACAGTAGAATTCTTATACATCACAGAACTAGATTTTTGCCTGGACAAGCTATGTGCAACACATCTGATCCTCTAAGCCCATCTTGTCTCTCGAGATTTGAGAAAACAGGATCAACTTCTCATAATATAGAATCAGTAATTCAGATAATTTCCTGCCCTAAGCATGTATATCACACAGTGGCAACAATATCATTATTGATGTCTCAAGGGGCCTCAATGCCTACATTTAGGAAGAAAACAGACCATAGATAAGAATCTAAACAGAGCCTTAGCAGAAAATGAACTTAAAAACAATTTCCAATCAATCCAATATACCTTTCTGTGACGAATGCGTCAAAAGGATCTCACCTCAATGTTTAGGAAAGACTATGATTTAAAATGTAGACAATATCAAGGACAATGTCTCGGACAAAGTTTGCTTACATCTTAGATACAAATTTATGGCATGGCTCAAGAATCCACTTCCTGGAACTCCATTTAGCAAAGACGTAATTGGGATAAACGACATTGAAATTGAGTCAGGCTCCATCTGAACGGTTTGCAGCCATTCGTTATGTGATAGATTTCTATTATCACTCCCACCTCTCCTTTTGCTCATGAAGACAAAGTCCTACAACACAAGTCATTCATGAGAACAAAATCTAGGACAAATGATGAGCAAAGACAAAGGCCTATGAGCAGTAGGAAGTTTCCCCAAGATCTGTGTTACAGATTAGCAACATATTTCAGCTGTCTTCTAAGATTGACTATGGTACTGTAGAATTCACCTCCTTATGTGCATAAGATCCTAACGAGTTTGTATCTGCAAATCTCAGCCGCTGCTCCCTTATTTCTACCTGAAACAAGAATGGGATGAGAGATACGAAAGGACATTCAAGACTCTGACTGTCCTGCTGCATCACGGCATACCAATTTGCATACGTGCATCGTGCAGTCAAAACACTAAAAGATATTTAAAAGCAATTATCTAAGCACATCAGGTAAGGGGCATAAATAAATAATAACCCTCACAAGGCTTATTCATGTGAAACCATCTATATTATCTAGAAATGACACTTTTAAAGGAAGAGCTAAGTCAATCATTCACAGACCTTACTACTTGAATACATTCGTTCTGAAGCCATACTATATTCTCCGCTGGCATCCAGAAACCTCTTATCTGCCACCTCTTTTAACCTTTTCTGCAGATCAGCAGGTTGAAGCTTTGAAGAATGTTGCTGTTTCAAATAAATCACATCCTTCCCACCCATCTTTACCCCAACAATAATATGTGTTCCGTATGTCTCTATAAACCTGGTAACGAAACAATCCAATTAAATGTTTAGATACGAATCCTCCCCTTCCCGGACATAATCGTCAATCTTATCATAAAATAAATGATAAGAAACAAGTAACAGGAAATTGTCACTAAGCCATATCGAAGACTCCTTCAACGGGAACATAAAAGAAATGGCTTGCAGGAAATGGATAAACGAATAACGCAGACAGTTTATCGCTAATGTCAAATGCATGTCACACGCATCAAACATTTTTTGCACACAAAGGCAACAGATAGCAATTATTTCTCCTCTAAAACGAAATTATAATACTTTTAAGATCTTTACAGCTATGTGGAAAATGGAAATGAAACCTTTAATGATGATTCTTATAATTAAATGATTGAAAATGACCACCTTGCCAGTGCAGCAGGGTCCCACGATGCTGGGACAGCCTGCTTGATATGATCACGGAGTATCATTTGAGATTTATCCAAAGCAACCGTGTACAAATTGATGAAAATCCCATCAAAAGCAAGGCTTTTAGTATAGGCTGCGTCTTTCTGCCAACAGCCTGAGAATTCAAACATCATATTAAAGAGGCCTGATGGGATTTTACCGGTCAAAGATAGTTCCTGGTTGAAATGCTCTGCCATCTAGCAAAACATAAGAGAAAGGGATAGCGAAGAACACATTAGACTTCTGGATTGTCATCTACACGGATGTAGGAAAGTTTCTCTCAACAGCACTGCTGAGAAAAGCATTGCATTATCCATACAATTCAGGGGTTAATATACGAGTAAATTAGGCAAAGACTTCAACAAGTGATGCTCTTCCCGCTCAAAACCGTAACATGAACCGCCAATTACTTATACTGTCGAAAGATAATAAAAAACTTGAGCTTTTAAGGCAACTAATGATCTAGACAGGTACAATCAAGGGTACAAAACCGAAATTTACCTGTTGGAAAGACAGAACATCAGAGCTAAACCGCGTACGCTCTCCTTTATCGCATTTTATTGATTTGGACACATTGGGAATTGAGATCCCACCAGGCAAAACAAACTCGCAATTCCCATAACCGTCATCAATGTCAATTAACCGCGAATCTTTGGAATCCCCTTTGCAGTATTTCAACCGTATATCATCAGCTAAATCATAGCCACGGCCAATAGATCCGATCGCAACTTCAGCTGCTTTAGAAGCTGGGAGCCGAAGTGCCATTCTTCAGGTGAACACTTCTATATTCGCCCGAACTATCAACACCAAACAGAATTAGTTCTCTAAGTTCGAACTGACCACAACATTCACCATCTCTTGCCATAACAAAAAAGGAAATAAAGAAGCCAAACCAGGTAAGCATTTCACTCGATGCAAACACCGATAACAAACAATACCCAGAAATCAAAACCAACAAGAATTATTAAAAACAAAAATCCACCATCCTCCACACACGGACAGGATCTCTACCTCCATGGCAAAGTGTCTAATCTAAATAATCGAACCCATGGGTGCACAAGAAAAACGAAGGATACACTAAGCCCAAATAGGTCACGAATTCAAACCTTCACGAGCAAAAGCAGAAGTAAAAAAGCGAAAGCAAAAAAAAAAAAAAAAGAGCTCAAGTCCTTACGTTTGACGAGCATGAATCGATCTTCAAGAGGCCGGCCGATTAGATATCAACGATTGAGCTCAAGCCCACGATCTAAAGGAACACCCAAAAGAATCCAAACACAGCGTCAGCAGCAGCAGCAGATTGGGTTTACGCAAGTCCAACTGCAAAGAATAAGCTTGAAGAGCCGCGGAATTCGATGATCAAGAAAAAAAATCGCAAAATCGAGGAACACGAAGAAGGGGTAAAAACCCTAAATCGAATCGAAGGGCAGCAAATTAGGTCTGTGAAAATAAAAAATAAAAAAATGGAATTAAGATAGTTGGTGGTGAGAGTTGACTGTGAGAGAGCGACTTGGTTTTGGGACGTGGATGGGAGAAAAGTCTGACTGCTGGTCAAAAGTTTGGGTATTTTATTTGGAAGTTTTTGATAATTTGACAGCCTGTTGTTGCATATTAATTTTGATTTGATGCGATTTTAATTTGTTATTAATTTTTAATCATATAATATCAACCAAAAACAGTTACAGTAATTAGGAGTATTTATTTTAGTGAGATAATTTTAAATATGTTTGAATCAAATTTTAATTAAAATTAATTCGGAATTTCAATCGAATGTGAAATAACTAAAAAGTTAAAGAAATTTTTTTAAAAGAGACTAAATTTTAATATGAAATAACTAAAAGTATGATCAAAACAAATTAATATAAAAATAGGATAAATATAATTCTAAAAAATCCAAAAATAGTTCAGAAAATCTAAAATATACAAATAATTATTATAATAATAAAATTAGAAAGTATTATTCTTCAAATTCCATTATTTAATAAGTTAATAACTGTTAAAATCTGCTTTTTTTCTGAAAAGAAATATATTATATTTATTAATTTATCAATTTGAACATGATTATAAAAAAATATATTTATAATAATACATTATTATAAATATATTTGAAATTGAATTAATAAATTAGTAACAATTATTTTATATTTAAATAAACTTGTATTTTATTTTAGTTTAAAAATAAATAGTGAACAAAATATATTGAATGATATAATTTTTTTTATATAAATTAACTGTATAAGGAATAATGTGTAGTTTTAAAAGTAAAACTAAAGAGTATAGTTTATTTTGTGTTTATTTTAAGTTTTTTTAGATAGATCAAAACTTTTTCGATTTAAATAAAACTAGATTTTAGCCGAAAGTTTTAGCAATTTGAAATTCTTCTAACTTGATCCAAGATTTATAAATATGACCAATCACTCCAATCAAGTGTATGAAAACTTTTTCAATCTATAAAACTACATCTTAACCACAAGTTTTACTCGTTTGAAAATTTTTCGTGATATGAAAAATATATATATATATATATGATGGGTGTTAGAAAGTATAAAAAATATTAGTGATATATATAATTACATACAATACAGGTTGCACCAAGGTACACTTTAAACATACATCTCTTCACGTTAGTAATAGTAATAGATGAGTTGACTATTAATATACAAAAAATGTCACGGTATTTGATGTTTGTAGAGGATATAAATGACAATAGATGAGTTTAAAAGAATAAGTCATTAATTTTAAGATTAGTACAATATGTATGGAGAATGAGTACATCAAAGGTTTGCCATGAAAATATTAGTAACAAAAGGGTATTTAAAGCTTGCAATATTCTATACTGTTGAAAAGGGTATTCATGAGAACTTTATTAATGTATGCTAACGAATGTTAGACTACGAAATGATAATATCCGTCCAAAATAAACGTGATCGAGATAAGTATGTTATAACGTATGGATATACAAAATCGATAAAATTCGAATAAAAGTACTAGAAAGAAAATAGAAAAAATATACATAGAAGAACAATTGGGAAAGAGACGTGTATAATGGTTTGTACATATGAAATATATATCGGAAAAACATATGGATAAGAAAGATAGGGATAAACATATGGATATGATGATGACCTGAAATGCCTACAAGTTTCCTAAAACCGAAATAAATGGGCATCAAATACATACAGTTTTGAACTTTTTGTTATCATTCCAACGGGTTTCGATGTAAAAGGAGTCCTTCTCCTCGGACACAATTCGGATCTTCTGTGTAAACCAGGTTCGGTTCAAACCTTGGTGTTAGAATTCCATTTGGGGCTTGCAAGACTCCACCGGTGCTTCTGGGTTCTGGCAAAACCTTCAAACAGTGTCTTCCTTCCTCCACCACCACATCCTAAGCGAAGAAGATTTACGATATTACCGGTGCTTCAACTTCTCCGCTGTCTTGTTCAACAGTATCGATGGCTTGTGGGCTATCTCTCACAAGGACTCCCTCCAGAAGCTGGTTAATGGCGTTCCCTCTGACCTGAGATTTTGAGTTTGGAGCGTCAGGAAGTGAACTCTAGGAAGAAACAGAGATAGAGACAACAAGCAAAACCTTGATGCCGATGGCAAGAGCTGTCTTGAGCTTGAGGAGCTCTCCTAATCTGAGACAGGCCCGTCTGTTGTCTCTGACGTATACAACAGGGACGTTCCTCGAAGCAGCCAAGTTCGGTATATGTTTCGTTAGCATCCTCGGTTTGCAATCTGCTACTATCACCACTGCCTGGGATCTCACCAAGGTTCGTAAAATTTGTTTGGCCCAGAAGAAAAAAGTAAAAGGTTTATCACAAAAGCTTTACCTGAAGTCGTACCGGAGGCCCTCTAGGATTTTGTTGCTTTGAGTCTGTGTGCTGCGGTGGGCTTTGTGGATTAGTCATCCGCTCGAGAACACGAGTGACCTCGTTTATCCCAATCGCAAATTGTTGCTGTTTCATATTATCGTTAAGTCAGGTGAAGGCATTGAAAAATAATCCTAGGCACCTAATAGAAGAGTATAAGATAATAACCTTGAACCATATCTTCTCAGGCAATAATTTTTCGTCAGAAAGCCTCGCTGTCTCAATTCCTCTGTTTCCACAGCAAGAAATAATAACTTGCAAAACTGAAATTGGAAAGAAGAATTGATGGTGGGTTTAGTTTTGGGGTTCGCATACTCACCTCTGAATCAGTTTGAGCAGATTGGCAAGACGTTCACCTTCGATGTAACTACACACCCAAAATCAAAAACAGGAAATCAAAATCATCAGGACCAGAGATTATACCGATAGAGAAACAAGAACCCGATAAAGAAAAGGCTCTGCAATGTACAAAACGGGAAGAATTCACATACTCTGGTTCTTTGGTAGGATTTGAATCGCCTAAAATCTTCTGCTTTTTGCCAGGTTTATGGTCCTTCATAGCAGTTTACCCAGTATGCACACAACCTGTTGCACGAAGATCGCAGCTCAGAAACCAGTTTTGTTCTATGAAAATCAGATGTAATATGGAATACAATTGAGAAGCCAAAATGAAGAATTATCAATTCAATCCGAGATGAAGACATTAACGTTTTGGACATCATTCCACAAAGGACAAGGATTATGCATCGCCACAGAACCCTACATAAACCCTAAACCCAACCAAATGTTCTCTCAACCCAACTCTCAGTGAGGGCAAATACAAACTTCTGATTTTCCTTGAACCAAAACAAAGATCATGTTTTCACATTGGCAATTATTGATTCTTAATTTCTTATAACCATTAAGCAACATGTCCTGATTTTGTTTCAACACAAGAAACTTCATAGATCAAGATAGAAATACATAACATAAACCACTGACGGAGAAATTTTCCATTCATAAAGTGCTTCGCTAAAAACCAAACTGTTCTAGATTCGAGAAAGCCTTAATTCAATCTAATTCTCCCCAAAATCTTCCGATTATGAAAAACCCAATCCGGATTTTGGTAACTTGGATTAGAAGGATGAAGACAGTTTTTCTGGGAATTTTACCAGCGACCTCGCTCAACCGGCTCGAACAAACAACGCATTGTGTTCCTCAAATCTCATGAGAAATCCAACATCAAGGTCGGTTTTACGTAAACGATGCCATCTATAAACTAAAAAACACGTGATTCTACTCGTTTCCGCGGCTCGAATAGGCCGTTTCGCACGACCATGAACTTCAAATCCCAGAGATTTCCCGGTGGAATCGAGGCCGGATTTGGCCGAACAAAAAGACCACATCGTCGGAAGAAGGAGGAGAAGGAGAAGAAAAACAAGGAGAAGGAGAAGGAGAAGGAGAAGACGAAGAAGAAGATCTCACCGGAGGATGAAAGCTCAGCCAAGACAGCGAAGCGGCAACGGACAACGCGGCGGAGACTGGAGTGGAAGACGGCGGCCAAAAACCCTGGCCAAGAACAGGAAAACACAGTACACAGGTAGGGGCAAACTTCAGCACTACACCTTTAGCGTCGCATCTCTATCATCGATACCCTCCAAAAACATAACCAATTATCAAAATACAATATTACCCTTAAAAAGTTAGGAAAAGTCTATCTTACCCTTACTTAGCCTTACCCTTTATGCTCATGTAAACAGTAAGAAACAAAATTCTCTTAATAATAACAATAAATTAAAAATAAAAAAATTATTTTTTTATAATAATTTAAAAATTAAAAATCATAAAAAGATGTTAAGATAAAAAGCGAACGAATATAAAAAGTCGTAAATACAATTAAAAAAATTATAAAAAATAGTTGCAATTGTAATAAAAAAAATAGTAGTAATTGTAACCGAATTCGTCTAAATTCGAATTTATGTAAAAAAATAAATATGAAATTAATTAATAAAAACTACATAAACAAATTAAAACGTGAATTATTTAAAAACCTAACAATTGTGCATCAATGAGAAATATTTAAAAAGTATTTATGGCAAAATTTGTATGAAATCGATCTTGTATTTAAAAAACAAATACAATAAGTCGTATATACTACAAACAAAAGTGGCAAAAAAAGAATAGTGATTTTGATCAAATAAAAGTGGGCCCAACCAAAAATAAAAAAAACCGACATTTTGTCTCGGGAATCGGCCACAACCAATTATTTACTTGATCACAACTCATTTGCCACCAACAAATTCTTATAAAATTGTTAAAAGATCGCGAATTTTGACTCGATTTTATCAATAATGATGGAAATCTACCAATTAAATGATAATAATCAATTTGCATTAATATTTTCAATAAATTTAATATTTTGGTATATTTTATATAATATAGTTGAATGTGTTGATATAAGTTTAGTATACATTTAGTCTTACATATAAAAAAATATACCAAATTTTTAATAAAATTGTAATTTATGACTTAAAACTCATTTTATTGATATAATTAGTATATATCTATCATATTTCATAAAAAATATCGACAAAATCTATATTTTATATAGATATTTTTTCAATTTACGAATTTATAAACAAGTCGTATTTAAGTTGTAATAAATTGGTTTTGACTGATAATAAAATAATATACACGTTTTTCGATATATCAGACTTTTATCTTTTGCACCGCAGGTTTTTTAGTTATAGAATATTTAGGACATATTATATACAGGGTTAAATGAGTCATTTTACCATCATTGAAGTGTAAAATCTGATAAAAAAAATTTTTACAATTTGAGGGTGTATCAATGATAGCTCTGTGATGTCGGAGGGGTATTCTTGAAGTTTGCCCCACAGGTAGTGTCTGTGTGTGACCCGATTTCAGTTTTATAATATTTTAAGAGCATTGAACGTAAGCCATCGGAGTTTAGAATATTTCTAGATTCACCCCTCAATAACGTTTGGACAACAAAAATAGACCTACCGAAATTCTCAATTTGACCCCTTTGTTTTTAAAACAGTCTAGAAATACCCTTAACTGCCCGGTTAAATTTAAAATTCTCAAGTCAATTTATTTTTGTCAATGTGACCCCCATTGAGTTTTGTAATTGTCCTGTCTGGAAACATTTACAAAAAAAAAAATTATACAAATACGAACAAGAGTAGAAACAAGACGACAGAACAGTTGTTATATATATATATATATATATATATATGTATAACAGCAAAATCTGCAGCAAGTCATTTGTTTCCAACAGCTAGTGTGGATTTTATGGTCATCACTACTCAGACAAATTCAACATAGAAAAGCAATTTTTTACAATTCAAATCCTAACTTCACTGTAAAATCTAACTCAATTGCAGCGAAAGTTTATTCAGTATCCATCTATTTGTGTTTGAGTGGTCTGCTTAGTGTGATTTGTTTTACGAGGTGAGGTGTTCGATCTTGCAAGTGATGAGGAGTGCTGAGTATAACTGACTAAAGACTAATTCTAAATTTATGGTAGATGTAGTCGAGTCGAAGGTTTAGAAAACTATTCTGATTATCCAATAAAAGTTTACTCGGTTTTGATAATTAACTAGAATGAATTAGACCGAACAATTGGTGGTTCAGTGGTTTAGAGATGATAAAATCATTCTCAATATCATGGATTCGATTCCATTGGTGGGGAGAAAATGTGCAATTAATTGCATGGCTAAATATTGACTCCAAATCTAGAGAGATTAAGTGAGTCGAATGCACAGTAAATCTTCTGTTTAAAAAGAAAATTAGAATGGATTAGATTGACGTCAGGAGACACATCATTTTTCTTTTTTTTAGATTACATGTCGATTCTGTCAACTCACTCGTTAATCCCTTGAAAAGAATGCAAACTTATGTAAACACAATCTGTGACTATCTCATGGAAGTTTATTCATTATTTATGTATTAAGATTTAAGATTTCTTTTAACGAATTCAAGTTTTATTAGTTAAAACTCTTTCTTTCTAGAGTTGGTAAGTCCAATCGAATCAGTGCAAACCTCTCCTTGTGTATCCGACGTGTTTTGGCTGTCGTGTCTGGTAACCGCAAAACGCAGACGCACAAGCGGTCAAACGCACGCACGCGTCCAAGAATTTCTTTAGATGACGCGATCGGATGGCCTTTTTCGTCATCGTTGCTTTCTATATGGTTTCCCTCACGCAAACTTTAGTTGAATCTGTGTATGATATTTTTTTTTGTATGATATTTGATTAAAAACAATCATTTTAGGTATTTTATTTGTTTTGATTTTTTTATTAAGATTATCAACAAATCTTTTGAAATGTATCTAGTTAGCAATTTGTTAACTATTACACCTAACTTCCCGTATAGAGAGAGAGATGGGATTATATGAAACTTAAAAGTACCATCGCGACAAGAACAAATCAATTTTTAATTAACGTCGTCATCTCATTGGACTGTGACTGTAAAGAGATATGAAGAAGATTTGAGAAGATTACGTAATATTTAGATTTGATTTTATTTCTATATTTTAGATATTTATATTTATTAAATAAGATATTTTATGATTTTGTTTCTGCTATAAATATTGTAATGTTACATGTTGAATAATGAGAAATCCAATGATTCTCCATCTCTTTCTCTATTATGGTATCAGAGCTTCGGTTTTTGTTCTAAATATTTTTTTTATATCAACGATGTTCGTTGAATCCGAAAACGATGATGAAGATGACGATGATATACTAACTTCAATAGTATCATCACCTTGAATATCGTCTTCCATTCATTTTTTTTTTCTATTTTTTTTCCGACGACAGTGTTTATCACTGTCAACCCTAGCCGATGTGCTACTCTTTTTTTTTCTGCCGACCTCATTGTCGTGCAACCCAACTCGCGCATATGCGCCGCACATCCGTGCTACATCAGCCTTTGAATCCGACTTTTAACCTCTTCGATTGGAATACTCGCGCATATAGCAGAAACAAAATCATAAAATATCTTATTTAATAAATATAAATATCTAAAATATAGAAATAAAATCAAATCTAAATATTACGTAATCTTCTCAAATCTTCTTCATATCTCTTTACAGTTTTGTTTCTGAAATGTTAGATTTCGATTAAAGTATTAAATAATGGATAAAATATGTATCTATAATATGGGGGAATTATATACATATAAGAACTTTGCTGGAATGATTTAGAGAACAAATAAATTTTGTAATATGCATCTATAACTATAATCTTTGTAATACCCTTTATATTTTCAAAATTCGTTCGTATTATTATTTTAGGGTTTAAACTTTAATGCAAAGTTTACATTTTTTTTTGTACTTTTACATTTAAATAGTTATCTTCATCATAATACTAATTTTTGGATTATATAACTAGTTGTCTTAGTTTTTTTAAGGATAATAGGTTGTATTTATTTATTAGTAATACGGCTTTATGGATATGATTATATGCATATACATTCGGTCAAAACTCAAAATGATAAACATGTTTTATTTAATTGAAAGCTTGCACGACCGATGTGGCACGTTCGTCCATTGCTTCTCACTTCCCTGTCTCAATTTGAATTTAAATTAAGAAATTTTGCTTTTATATAATATAATCTCAAATATTAAACACTGATATAATCATCTTTTATATGCACATTAATCATTTTTCAGATGTATCAAATCATTCTGTAAAAATATAGATTGTAATAACCAAGTGACAAAATTACATATTTTCAATCAAACTACAACATATTATGTTATATATATGTGTGTGTCTATATAAAATAATTATATGCCTGCCCAACAAAGTCATTTGGGGATCAATGGTTAGAATCTGCATCCCTCACGTAAAATGGTCTAATATATATATATACACCCACACACACATATATATATATACATGTGTACATGTATGTATTGCATGAAAGGAGTTTTATTCAATGACAATATTATGTTGTTTACTTTAACACGTGTGATTATGCGTGTATTTGTCGTGGTGTTTAATTCCTAACAACCTCATATCGTTCTTCATATAATAATTATTAAAACTCCTGAAAAAAAAACCCCTCCAAATCAATTGATTGATTAATTTGCTTGGTTTTCAATGCAATGACATGATAATCATTAAATATATTCTCACGACGGAACACTATTTCCGTTATATCACATCTTCTTGTCGCATGCATTAAAAGAATTTTAAATTTGGAAATGAATTATCAGATGCTTAATGTAAATCAGAGATATTAATAAAGAAATCAATTCTTCAAATGACCAATTAAATCCTAAAGCCTTTAAAAAGTTCATTGAATTTGGATAATATAACATGTTAAGTGTTATTTCAGAAGCCAATCAAGGACAGAAATTCATTTTTATAATACCAGAAAATCTTACATATTTATATCATTATCCCAACAGATGGAAGGTTTATTCTTTGAATTCTAACAAAAAATTCTATATATCTGAAAAGAACTGAATATCCCAAAAGAAATAATTGTGTTTTTGTATGTATATCTAAATTTGAATCAAAATTTTCCATTTCAATTCTAAATAATATACTGTATAATCATAATTTCATTTAAAAAAAAAATCTGTTATCACAGTAATACTTATAGGAAGATATTAATGATAATATTATAAGAATAATATCTTCCTATAATACTATCACTTTAGGTATAATTCTGCTTTCTTAAACTTGTCTTGTAATTCTTAAAAGTTTATGTAAATAATTTTAAATATTTTGCTATTGGAAACAAAAAATATCTATATATGATATTTATTTAAAATATAAAATATCAATGATGATAGATTAAAAAAAAAAACATTTTTCCGAGATTTTTGTAAAGAATTGTGTTTTATTCGGATGTGTTAGTGCGTGATTGCTTTTCAAAAAATTAAACCTTTTTTTGGATATTTTCGCAGAAATAATAGCGTGTTAGACATTGATTCTATGCTTCAAAACTTGAACCATTCAAAAACACACACGGTTTCTTTATAATACACAAAGTAATTATCTTATATTATCTAATTATTTAATTCGGTCGGTCCATGTGGACCAATAATTATTGAGATAATTCGTGATTCTAACTGTTCACCGTTGTCATCCCAAAATACCCTCCTGAGTTCCCTGAAAGTTTACGCTCGTTCAGTGTGTGGGTATATAAGGCAGTAGAGCAGTCATTTTTCGTTGAAAAGTTCCGAGTTGCAGAAATCACCCGCAAAAAAAAAAAAAAAAAAAAAATCCAAATCCCAGAATTCAAAATCCGTTTCGGCTTTGATCATTTCTCCGGCGAATATTCGATTGGATTTGTTCTTCGTCTGACGATTTCATCGTCGTAACTTTTTCGTGTGCTTGAATCCCATACTGTTTCGGTAATTTCTGGGTTTTCTCATCAGTGTTCTTGGTTTTTCTCGCGTTTGTAATCGGAATGCCAATGCCGATTTCTTCTGCGTTCTTTGTCGTTAATCTGGTGGTTTTCGGTTCTGCCTCACGGCTGAAGTGTGCGTGATTTATACATATGGAATGTGAAGTTCTCGGGTTTTTTTGAATGGATGGGGAAAAGTGGGCTCATGTCCGATCATTACACGAATTCTTGAGTTCCATTGATTTCTTCCTAGTTGCTCTGTGCTTTTAACGGCTAGATTTTGGCAGTAGCGTGAAGGTACATCACAAGCTGTTCGATTGAACCCAGAGAACAAAAAGCTTTTAGGATTGTCCACTTGCACAAGAAAGGATTTGGGCATGGGGATTCTTATGGGATTTCTTTGTTCCTTTATTCTGTTTCAGGAACGATGTCTCAGGGAAAGGTTTTGGGTGATGGTGAAGATGCAGAATCCGTGGATTCTTCTGTTTCCAAAGTAATTTTTTCTTTTGCGTATTTTTAGTTTGAAATCTATGTTTTGTTCTTTTGTTTCGTCTGGTTCATTGCTTCTAGGCATAAACTAATTGGGATTGCTTAAACCCCTGAAATTCTGCAATATGATCTATTTTTTTTCCCTTGTAATATTTCATCAACTGTTGGTTCGTCCTGCATCTCCGGAGTTCTGAAGCATTTTCTTGCAGCAGCATGTCTAGTTGTCGACTACCATGATGCTTGTAACCTGCAAACAGACTCTTATTTTGTTATCTTTATATCTGCTGGTTCATACAATGACAAATGAAAAGAGAGAAAAAAGAAAATCTGAAATCCGAGGATTGTTTAGGATGTAACTTTATTCAGAATTGTGGATAAAGGGGTGTATGTTGTATGGCACTGAAATGAGTTCCTGTCTCTGTGCAAGATACTGTCATTTTGATAGTCAATTGACGTTGATCGTATTTTCCTTGATGTGTTAAAACCAGGTTGATCCGGCGAAACCTGCATCATTAACATGGCAAAGAAGAGTAGACAGTGAAGGAAAGATCCCCTTGGAATTCAGTCTGACTGCCAAAGAAATATTTGAGATGGTATGTAGACACGAGTATGTCAATACCAAAACAAAGGGAAAG